TTTTTTATAGAATGAAGATAATAACATCTGTCTGAACTTTTTAATGTTTCATTTTAATATATAAAAATATTTTCTATACCGATTTAAGAGCCTTATACCATTTGTTAAAGTCACACACAAAAAAGAATATGGTAAACATTGTAGTATTGCAATGATGCAAAGAACGGCTTTGGTTTCCCTCTACCTGTAACGGTTTCTAGGTTTAATCTATAACAAGGTTTTCGGTTTTTGGGGTGATGATGAAACGAAGTTGGTACTATCTAGGTAAAGAAATATATCTTGGTCTAGGGTTCATACTGAATAGTTATGTCCTACGATACTTGATACCGAAGATCATTTTGATATTTCGCGTACAGTACTTTTTTCTTGCAAATATTTTAAAAATTGGTGGAAATGATAATGAAAATAAGAAGTACAGCAATTGAACACGGGAGGGACCTTAATGATAATAAGAAATCCAGTTAGGTATTCGCGTTCGTAGGAAGAAGAAGAAGAAGAAAAAGAAGAAGAAGAAGAAGTCTCAAAACTTTGCAAACGCGTAGTCAGGTGTTTGGTGGTTCGGTAGAGTCGAGATTCAGATTGAAATTTTTCTGAAGTCAGAGCTTCATGACATCATACCCCCATCATAGACATTCAGGCTACTGGCGTGTATTTAATATTTAACCAAAAAGGGGAACGAGAACATCAAGCTGAATGTTCTTTTTCGGTGACCGATTCTGGTGTTAAGCGTTGTCAGCTCAGACGTATAAAAAAATAGTAAATTCTAAGTAAACACGATACCAAATGGCATATCTCCCGATTTCTAAAATTTTTGGCACACTAAATAAATAAATAAAAAAATGGAGGTCACCATTTTTGTTTTCATGTAAATTTCATAGGAAAACGTCAATTTTGGCGACAAATTTACAAAGCTACTAGGTACATATGGAAAATGCCTTTTTTTCGACTTATCTTTTTAGATTTTTCAATGAATGGCTATTTTCTTATATACAGAGAAAGACTAAAAACTAACATAATATACAGGTTTGTATACTAAATGCATGCATGTATAGAAACACATATGTCACCATCCTTGTTTTAAGATAAATTGCTTCAAAGTTGATCGATACGCTTAGAATTTGACCGGAAAACGTGTGACTTTATTGAATACAGAATAACGTTATTCTTACTCAGAGGTATTGAAAAAAATATGTGTCGGGATCTGAATTTATTTTATTTTCATTTACCCTGTCTGATTTTGTAAATTTCCTAGTAATTCAATATATAATTCTACTGATTTAATTGGACAATGGTGATGTCACCGCTGCATCCATGCATGATTAAAGTGCCTCAAAGATTTGATTAAGTAAATAGTGATGTTTAAGTACAATTTGAATCGACTGATTGATGGTTGCTTATCGTTCAGTGGCAAATATTTCATGCATGTTCAGGACGAAATAATACAATTTGAAACAGTTGTGTCTAAAAGACACTTTTGATGAACCGGTCAAAAAAGGTTAAACAATCTGTTGTGAAAATTATATATAAAAATCCTGATAAAATACACATTCTAAAAAGTAAAATATAACAAAAATACCGTACTCCAAGGAATATTCAAAACGGAAAGTCCTTTATCAAATGGCAAAATCAAAAGCTCAAACACATCAAACGAATGGAAAACAACTCTCATATTCCTGAATTGGTACAGGCATTAATATAGTATACTCTGTATGGTGTAAACGTGTGAGATGTGTGCCCAGTAAATCGGACAAACCTTGCAACTGACGTGTATGCAAAATTTCACTTTAAAAGACGAAGTTCAACATTCTGTCATTCGTTGTACATGTGGGAGGAGGAAGCCGGATTCTTTACTCTGCGTGCCTTTATATATTATCAAAATGCCAAATTGAGCAACCTGTCATTAAAAAACATCCTGAAGTTATGCGCACCTTTATTATATGTAGTAACACCAGGTACATAATTTAAAAGTTGAACTGTAAAAACTGTAGTCCTAAGAAATCAGCCGTAAATCCCACACACAAAGAAATACCAATACTTTTTTACATACATATTTGTATACTTGTTATAAAAGCATTCCGACGCCTATGTGAGCATTATGCCCCTCCCCAAAAAGGCAACTTTGTTAATCGTCTTTCAGTCGTTTTGTCTCCCCACTTTGTGAAATGATGCATCTGTACTTGTACTTTATGTCCAACTCAAAACACCAAAAACACACCCATCCCCCTATTCCCAAGCGTAAATTAACAGGAATATGAAATCTAAATGATTTTATTATCTCGTTGTTTTTTTCAGTTAGTTTCTGCTGTTTGAATACTATAGGTTAATGAAAATATCTCTTAGTAAATTGTTTGCGTTCGAAGCAGCACTTTTTCGGATTTACTTTCATCAAAGCACCGATCAATCATTTATTGTGGGCCACGGATTTTTTTTTATGAATCGTTTGATTGTAAATTTCGAGAAAACATTTTCAGAATGGAAATGTAATTTTTATTTCGTCCTAACCATGTGCACATTTATTGTTAAGCCTTTGTTAACTTCTCCTCATTCCGATGTTGTCCTGTGTAGACTTCGCTTATACGAATACAAAGCTAGCACTTTATTATTAAAATGCTTCCGAAACTATATCGGATTTCTTCTGTACAGTCCAATAAATTTCAGAGACTTTTTTCACATGGAACACAGGGAAAGTTGTTCGGTTAAATAACGGATAATAAGTTCAGCTATTCTTTTTTGTTCATTCCATGCCAACAAACAACCTTTTGTCTATCCGCAATCTTTTCCAAATACATTATTTTATTTCTATTTTGCTAGCGGTGTTTTTTGACGACCATTTTAAAAACGAACGGGTTTCTTAACGAAATTGCATTAATAGTGGTACCAAGTACAATTCCCCGTATTTTCACACACCATCCTGCCTTTCTGTAAGTTGGATTTTTACTTTCAAAAGAAAATTTCTTCGGGAAACGGCGTGCATCATAAATAAGAATCTATTGCAAACAATAACCAAGAATAAAAAAAACTCTGTCTGTTATGCACAAGAACATATATAGATATATCGTACAAATGCTTACTTATCAATAGAAACAGAATGTTTAAAAATTATATTTTTAAATGTAAAGAATGGGCAGAAGAATTGTCGGAAGGCGACGAAGCAATCAATGTCAAATAATGTATTGCATCAACTCAAATCTTTCGGCACTCTGCGTGTAGGCAAAGTTACAGTTAAAAATGTTTACCGAAAATAAAAGGATTTTATTTAATAATTTCGCGATTGAAGTACAGCGTTAGGCCTACATGTATTGTGTCGATAACCGCCAGAAACACGATGGAACCTGCTGCATTGACCGATATTTATGAACGTTGTCCACGTTAGCAGACTTACGTTATGGGCACGTTCAGAACAATCCGCTAATTGACGATGAAAAATCTTCTTATGCAGCAGCAATGGTTGAATTATAATAAGATAATAGCTTAAACTATTAAACTAAAGATCGCCTAATTTAATTTAATATAAAAAAAACACAAAAAACAGCGACACTAGAATTCCTAAATATTAAAGAGTAAGAAGAAGGTATATTTAATAGTAAATGCATTGCACAAGCAACGTCAAAACTTCTCAAGAAACCGAAAACATCCGAAGAACCCAACTTAACTTAGAAAGTGTGTTTTGAAATCTAGTCCCCACACACCAAACTTCTCGGAATACAAAATCAATGAACTGATAAAAAGTATAATGGCAAAAAAGATTCTGAGAATGAATATTTGAAATTCAAACTAATTTTTAAAACAAACATGTTGACGTATATTCAAGAGCACTTTAAAACTGGGTTAGTAGTTAATTACTAGTATGCTAGCCGTTTTGTCGGACAGAGATGACATACTATTCCAATACTAGTAACTTAAACACAATCCAATAAAGGAGCATTAGGTTGATCATCAACTGCAATCCTAAATGTCCTGGAAGTTAGAGTAGATGGGCTACTATTACATTAAAGGTTTAGGATATGGCAGTCACGGAAAATTAAAATTAAAAAATCTTACTCATTACAAAATCGGGCGAGAAATATAATGTAAAAATAAGAAAACTACTGACAAACAAATCTCAAAAATACATCTGATTCTAAAACAAGCATAAACAGTTTAAGGAACAGATATAACAAACTTAGTGCCAGAAAATGATTTTTGGTAATACGCAACAATATTGATAATACCTATTAGGGAACTCAAAAATTAGACAAAAATGACAGTCAACGTCGATAAAGAACGAGTAACCGCTAAAAAATGTTTAAACCCATCAAACTTTTTTTATTTTTAAATGCCAGAATAAAGTGAATCTAAAATTAAAATTAATATAGAAACTTTCAAATAGAAAGTCAACCATACCATGGAATTCTTGAATGAACCGTAAAATAGAAACTCGCAAATTAAACTGTTTATTCAATGTTAAGTCATTATCTCTATCTCCTCAGCAAAATAATTAAATTTGTGTTTTCTTTGAAATTATATATAGCAGATAGATTTTCTAAAGAAGCAGGGAAAAAGGCAAACAATTAAAATAAAAAATGGATGTGCAGATTACTGTGATAATGAAGTTAAACAGCTAAAGTGAACATTTATTTTATATATCGAAGTAGCAACATTGATGTGATCAACATTAGAAAATTCATAAGAAAAATAATGGATGTGCAGTTTACTGTGATGTATATATAGTAGAATAAATAATTAAGGTTGGTATATTAGGAATGAGTTCGCAATGCTACATTGTTAATTTTTCACAAGCCTTCAGTATTTTGCTGGTCTCTCCGCTTCTTTTATTAAGACGAACATGATAATTGTGTTTTTACTGTTACTATTATGTGTATAGGTTGGTTATATTTTTGTAAGTATTTTTGCCATAGTTTGAAATGAAGAATTGTTTTATTTAACATAAATAAGATGATTAACGCTGTAATGAAAATATTAGGCGTATTTCAAAATAACTGATACTGATATAGTTTTACCTTCTAGAGAGATTTTGTGGAAATAAATAACTGCAGCCAACTTCACTGTCCTCCAACTATAAACACCAAGCTATCTTAAAAAGACAAAGTTTTCCAGTATGGCACATAATTAGACAAATATTGCATATATATTTGTAAGTTTAGAACATAATTTTTTTTTTAATCAATATTTTAATATTGAAACGTTTGAAGTGCCATAGTCCAGCATGCATTATAACATATTTTCAATATGTTGAAGCAATTTCTGAAACATAAAAGCTTTACTTTTACATGACTTCTTATAAATTACTTTAAGTGTCCAATTATATATCAAAATCTATTTTATTGTTACGTATACTAATGCTTGCAATACGCATCAACATTGAAAATACCTATCAGGGTCCTCAAAAACAAACAAAAAGGACGGTCAATGTAAAAAAAGAACGGATAACCGCTAAAAAAATAAAGTTTCGTCACAAACAGCAATTTCAAAAGTTATTCCGTTTTTCAAAACCAAAAACAATGTGGAGCTGGAACAGTTGAGAGTTTTACTCAATTTGACTGAATTAAAACATCCAGTTCCGAAACGAGGATGTGTACCTTAATCTGAATTTAATCCATCAATTTTTTTTTTTTATATGCCAGAATAAGTGAATCCAGAATCTAAAAAGCATAGAAACTTTCAAATAGTAAGTCAACCATGGAATTCTTGAATGAACCGTAAAATAAAAACTCACAAATGAACGGTTTACTCAATGTTAAGTCATTATCTCTATCTCTTCGGCAAAATAATTCAATTTGTGTTTCTTTGAATAAATAGCAGATAGGCTTTCTAAAGAAGCACGAAAAGAGGCAAACAATTAAGATAAATAATGGCTGTGCAGATTATTGTGAAAATGAAGTTAAACAGCTAAAGTGAACATTTATTTTATATATCGAAGTAGCAACATTGATGTGATCAATATTAGAAAATTCTTTTGTACTATAATTTCAATTTGAAACCAGAAAACCAGCAATTCAAATATATTGAGATCATATTATTGCCTTTATTGACGACTATCAACATCGATTGAATTAAACAGTAACAAATTGCGGATTATGAAAATTCAAAGGCAAGCCTACACAAAAAAAGAAGAATAACATGTAATCTCAAGTTCACTATGATAATTTAAGATCTAAGACCGCGCAAACATGTCACTATTGAGTTAAAACACCGACACATGGTATCGGTCAGTCAATTTGTGATCAATTCGTGATCGTGACCATAAAAATTATCTAGGGTCGATTTCAGTCGTTCTTTCTCATAACTCTGTTGGTGTAGTTTATGTGTAAGGAGCACATCCCTGTTAATGTAGTTTGCATAATGTGAACATGCACCAACGTAACGACTGAGATTTGTAAACGCCATACGATGGACAAGTGGGTATGATACTGCTGAGAAATGGAAAGTTGACAATTGGAACGTTGAAATCATCAAGTGTGTCATAAATTCTAGTTTGAAGACTTTCATCTGTGTCAATATCGAGGAAAAAATTTTAAAAAATAAACAGGCCTTCTGCTTTCTGTAGTATCCTTAATCTCAAGTTCACTATGATAAATGAAATGTAAGCATTCATTGAAATGTGTGTTCTTGAGTGAATTAAAGAACATCTTATATATACCTGAAAGTAAAATAAGATGTTTTCCTTTTTCCTTTGAGAAGGTTCTGTATGAATTCTGCTTTAAATGAGTACGTACGAACAACAAGTCTGCCAGAGATTCAGTTACAGACCCTTATACTCTATACTGGCAATAAAACATTCTATCAACAAACCGATACCAACTAATGGCGAAGCTATTTCTCATCTTGAATATTATAGGCTATCATAAAAATAAATTGCATAAAATATGTAATTTAAGACATCTACTATTCAAACCAACAAATACCAAGAGCTGTGTACCAACAGAAATTGTAACCAACAAATATCAAGAGCTGTGTACCAACAGAAATTATAACCAACAAATACCAAGAGCTGTGTACCAACAGAAATTGTAACCAACAAATACCAAGAGCTGTATACCAACAGAAATTGTAACCAACAAATACCAAGAGCTGTATACTAACAGAAATTGTAACCAACAAATACCAAGAGCTGTGTACCCACAGAAATTGTAACCAACAAATACCAAGAGCTGTATACCAACAGAAATTGTAACCAACAAATACCAAGAGCTTATTTATTAATTAAAGTTATTCAAATGATATGAGATGTCCTTTAATTCAATGCTAATACTGATTTAATGTTCTTCTCAAGTTTGTGCTTGCTTGTTCATGCTGTTTCCTACATTGTTACTTTGTGATATAAGGTACCGACTTCAAATAAAACATAAATAAATGCTATTTGCGTAATGCCGTGTAGCGTTAATAATGCAGTAGACTAGCCTGTGATTGTTGTATGCTTTTAATTTGCTGGTTTATATTTTCATTTGTAATCTTGAAATAAAAAAAAGCACAAATATTCCTTTAGATATAGAAATACAGTTTGGAATGAATACTCCAGAGTTTTTGAGAAGAACACAATTTTAACCAATGTTCTCAACTTCTTGTTACCTGGAGTGGTAGTTCATGTCAATGCAATGCTTGCAAATAATCAATACTTTACTTTATAGTGCTTTTCTGCTAATGTGTCATAACTGCTCATGTGTTTTAAACTGTTTTATATGCTTTTCATCATGATTGCTTATTGTACTTTTAATATTTCGTCATAGTTTAACATAAAAAAAGAGAGGCGAAAGATACTCGTAAGTCGAAATTAAACTGACAAAGCAAAGGCTAAAAAAGAAAAAGACAAACAGACAAACAGACAAACAACAGTACACAAAGCACAACATAGAAAACTAAAGAGTGAGCAACACTAACCCCACCAAAAACTGGGGGTGATCTCAGGTGCTCCGGAAGGGTAAGCATATCCTGCTCCACATATGGTACCCGTTGTGTTGCTCATGTAATAACCCGGTGATAAAAGTAGACGGGATTGTAGTTACGACTATTGGAACATATCTGTCGTCATCTGTGAAACAAATATTCCATAAGGGTCAACCAACTCGTGATAGCGTCCGTAAAATTTAAGAAGGGATGATTGCAACTTCACCACTTGGAACTCTTTGTTTAATAGCTTCCGTGTGAGCAGCAACCCTCTTTCAGGAAAATCAAGATAGGAAATACAAGCCCTGAAATATCGTATCAACTGGGAGATATATACTCCGTATGCAGGCGCTGCTGGAATGTTGCTACATAGAAATGGAAAGTTCACAATTGTGAAGTGAAATCATCTCTTTTCTCGTCAAGTTTTGTTTTCAACCGACCCTCATTGTCAATTTCTAGATGTCAGTCAAGATATGAGGCAGACTTTGCTGTATCTGTTGTATCCTTTATCTCAAGTTCGATGGGATAGATACGTTCAACATAGTCACCAAATTCTGAATCATTTAGTGAGAGAACATTATTTATATAGCGGAAAGTGAAGTTAAAGGATACTGCTAACTTCTGTTGTTTCTTCCTAAGAAGTTTCTGTATGAAATAAGCCGCATATAAATAAAGGAACAAGTCGGCAAGAAGAGAAGTACAGTTGCATGGTTCCCATGAGAATGCCGATTGTTTGTTGAAAAACACGTCCATCAAACGTAACTGTAGCTTTTGTATTGTTTGTATGTTTGCTTTCTTTTAAACGTGCTTTTTTGAATGTTTTGTTTGTATAATAAGACAATATAAAAGCTCAATAGAGGTTATGGTTTCTGTAAACAAAATTCATATTCGTCTTTGAATAAAGCTTTTGAACTTTAAACATTTTCCATTTATAAATGCGGTCGTTACTTGGGGCCACTTCAAGTTCCTCTAATGGTAGGATGACCAGCTGAGACAATCAGTACACCTCTCTTTTAATATATTTTGAATAGCAAAAATGCATACCCATCATATATATCTTTTAATTTTGACAAAAAAATATTACTAATAGCTATCATATAGCATGATTCGCCGAATTTCATGGAGAGATTGATAGATTTAATGAATATCCAGCGGATAATCCCTACCTTCTTCTTCTTTTTCTTCTTCAGGATGTCCACCCTACTTGCAGGGTCACCGCATTTAAAAATTATTTATTTTTTAAGAATGCGTTATTAAAAATTTTTGTTAATTTTTTTTTTTTTTTTTATGTTTTAGTTAAAATTTAAATAATAATAGTAACAGAGTTAGAATAGGACAAAATTAAAAAACAGGAACTTGTATTTACACTATACATACTCAGACTGACGTGAGCTTGCAAAATTTTACATTTATTTTAAAATGGATAAAATACTAGCTTATCAGAAGCTAAATGTAGTTTGTTTGTAAAATTCTCTTAGAAAAAAGAAAGTGTTATGAATTACGATTCTGTATTAATAATGGGTAAAATTATGTACTTGTGTGGTTTCAAGATATAGTTTATGTGTTCTTAAAATCTAAAATGGTAAAAAACTCTCTAAATATTAGTTTTAAAAACAGTAGTGGTCATTGTCACAATCTAAGATCTACAAGGTTATTTACAAGGGTCATTAATATTCATATACTCTAGTTATAGTTTTAACTTAGAAGTAATTTTCTATATCACTTAATATTTAATAAAGGTATATACATCATATTAAAGTAGTATAATACTTGTTACATTCCCATGACTGACAGCCACCCGTCGCAATTGTTAAGCACCAAGAACTTTAAAAATGATTGTTCATTTGTTTTCCAGAAGTTGGGCTCTTTTAGCGCAATGCATGATAGATCCAGTCTTTGCAAATTCGTTCTATATCTCTCAGCTGAGACACTGATATAAGGTTGTTCCAAGAACAGTCAACTAAGAATTCAAGAACTTCAAGGTCCTCATCAGAATTAATTACTAGTATACTGCAATAAGGGATCTGATTATCCGCTCCAGGAGGGATTTGAGTCTATTGTGATGAATTTTTCTCACACTATTCAGACTTTCACACGTAACTAGGAAGTGTTTATATATAGCTCTACCACTCATTACATTGTAATTTATGTGCACACCCACCCTTCCCGCAATTTTACATGATGAT